GAAGGCTTAAGTTGGAAAAGTCAACCGGATGTTGACTTGTGAGTTAGAAGGCTCGGAATTGAATTCCGATGATTCGGTTAGCTCCGGGTGATGATTTAAGGCTTAAGAGCGCAATTGGGAGTAATTTTGGAGGTCGGGTGAAGAAGTTAGCCTATTTTGGCGAAGGTAGTATTTTGGCGATTTCCGGTTGATAGGTGAAATTTTGATCCGGGAGTCGGAATGGAATTCCGAGAGTTGCTGTAGCTTCGTTATGTCATTTTTGGACTTGTGTGCAAAATTTGAAGTCAATCGGACGTGATTTGATAGGTTTCGGCATCGGAAATAGAAGTTGGAAGTTCTAAAGTTCATAAAGCTTGGATTGGAGGTTGATTCATGATTTTAACGTTGTTTGATGTGATTTGAGGCCTCGAGCAAGTCCGTAATATATTATGGGACTTGTTAGTATACTTTGTTGGGATCCCATGAGGCTCGGATAAATTTTGGAAGAGTTTTTGAAAGATTTTTGCCGTTTTGAGCATAAATGTAATGATCTAAAGGTTCATTTTTAGTTCTAGAGATCCAAATTTGATTCCGAGACTTCCGGAATTTTGATAATGAATTATAGGACTGATCTGAAAATTTTGGTCTAATTTCATCAAGTCGCGATTGGGTTTTTGACGCGAAACATGAGTAATTGTTTAACGAGCGAAATGGATATCGCACTGGGCAAATGAGCTCCGAATTGAGTTTCGATTGAAGGGTTGTGTTCGTATTATTATTTGTGACTCATAGGAACAAGAATCGTCTAATTCCGAGTTCGTACGAAGGAGTTAGAGCCTTTTTAGTGAAATTAAAGAGTGCTGGTACATCAGGTCTGGTGTGGCACTTTTAGCGACCAGATTAGCACCTTTAGCGACCAGATTTGGGTCTTTAGCGACCAGATTTGCTTATTAAAAGCTGCTGCGTTTCTGCTCGTTTTTTTTACCTATTTTCTTGCGAAATAACACGGCTTGGGGCGATTTTGAGCAAGAAATCATGGGAAATCTTGAGTTAAGTCACTTGTGATTATTTCTACTCCATAATATTGAATTATCATCGAATAATCCGACTAGATTACATGTTTTTGAGGTGTAAATTGGGGATTTTGGACCTAGGGATTTGAAAATAAGATTTGAAGATTTGAGAGGTCATTTGAGTTCCGATTTTGGTAAACTTTATATGTACGGACTCGTGGCGAGACGAGGAATCCGTTGGTGTGATTTTCGGAATTTTTCGAGAAGTGGGCCCGGGGCTCGGGTTTTACCAACTTCGTGAATTTTAGTACTTTTCGAATATTTTTGATTGGGTTATGTTTCTTTAACCCATATTTATGTATTCGTTGTGATTTTGACTAGATTCGACGCGCGAGGAGGTCGATACGAAAGGAAAAGGCATTGCGGACCATTCTACGGCCGGTTAGAGGTGAGTAGTTGGTGTATATGATGGCCTGAGGGTTTGAAACCCCGGCTTATCACATTGTGACGCTATTGTAGGGCGTGACTCGCACCCCATGGCAGGTGCGGGATTAGTTATGACTGGGGATTGAGACTTAGTCCATCCCGAACAAGAATGTTCCTATATTGGCGACTGATACGCACCCTGTATTAAATATATCTGGGCTTATTGACGTGTTTGGGGCCTTGTGCCGATCTGTAGCATCCTTAGAGGATGAATGTCATTGTGATAGTATGCTTTGTATAATGCTTACTCATGAATGCTTACTCATGAATCCTTATCTGTATAAAAATGATCAGTCGATTTGTATGGAAAAGAAGTAAAGTCAATAAAGTGAATTAAGCTACCTTACTAGTTACAACAAGATGACTTCAATATGCAAAACTTTCTCTTTCTTTTGCTCAACTTACAAAAGTAGGTTGCATCACAAAGCAAATCTGCCAACTCAAAAGTTAAACACGCCACATATACACACAAATCTTAATTATGAAATAAGTCAGCAATGACATTAGTTTACTGTAATTGAGCAGACAGCTAAAAGACGACATTTTCAATACCTTTAGGAGCAAGAGAAAAAGATATATATTGATGGACTGATGCAAGCAAAAGGATTAAAATAAATAAAGGGAGAGGTTGAACATGCACTGCACTTTGATTTTTGAAAATTTCAATCAACAAAAAGATATCATCCTGACAACCTTTTTCTTCTTGGTACAAAAGAAAAGTCTAAAAAGCACATGCATGATCTTTTTTGGTTGTTTCTGATGACCCATATCTGACTCATGCAACAATCAGTTAAAAGATTCATCAACTCCTCCTCAAACCCCTATATATAATGCTACAAGGAATGTTCTTAAACCATCAACCAAAACATAAATATATCACAATACAGCAATATTCCTCCGCAAAATCAGAATCACAATGAAGAACTTACTCAGTGGAACTGTGGTGGGTATTCCCATGAGTTCAGCAGTATGCCCGCTTGAAAGGCAGCCAAAAAGACTACCGGCCCTATCTGCAAGTGAAGACCATATTGTTCCATATGCAACTTCAAAGAACTTATCTAAAATAAAGCAAAGTGAGTATTTCCCCCCGTCTCTTGATGAAAAATCAACTTGATCTTGTCGTATGACCCTTGAATGAAGAGATCATAAAAATAAAAATATTCTTGAATATGCAGGAAAATCTGTTATTGGTAAGATGAACAAATTCGGAGAAAGGATGGACTGTCTTGCACAAGGCATCCGTGAGCATGGTAAGCACTTATATTCTCCATTAAAGACTTCAAAAGATTAATTGAAAATATTACTAAGACAATATTTTGTGTAAGCTGAAATAAAAAAGTATTTGCAGTTGAAGTTGAAAAAGAGTATTGGGAAGTTGAAATTGAGCACGGACATGAGTTCCGCTTGAAAAAGAATTCAAGTTTTGTGTTACCGCTCTCAAAAAAAAAAATCAAGTTTTATGAGTGACAACAATTATCTTACTTGCAATGCTACTCGGACAAAATTGTTTCAATATTTCACCCGTATTTCAAATGCTAAAAATTCGCTATGCGAAGTCATGGCCAAACACTAGTGTAAATCTAAAGAACACAGATAAGTGAGTCATGAAGTGCAAAATTCATGCAAGAAGCATTATTTACATGTATATCTGTTATAAAGTATTGATTGTAATATCCTTTAATTGTGCAGTGAGCCTAAGCCCAAAGCTAACAGAAATTGTGAAGGGAAAATTGAGCCTAGGGGCAAAAATTGTTCAAGTAGGAGGGTTGGAGAGAATATTCAAGCAGAAGTTTAGTGTTAGAGATGATGAAAAGCTATTGAAGGTTTCTCAATGCTATTTATCAACGACAGCTGGTCCAATAGCAGGCCTTCTCTTCATCTCTACAGATAAGATTGCTTTCTGCAGCGAGCGATCAATAAAGCTCTTATCTCCAACTGGAAAGTTTCTTAGAATCCGTTACAAGGTACTATCTGCTCTGTTTTCCTTTCATCTCTAATTTTCTAGCCATGTAAAGCATAATCTAATAGGCCGGTTCATAATAGCAGGTATCGATCCCAATAAGTAAGATAAAGAAAGCAAAAGAGAGTGGGAATATGGAAAAGCCATCACAGAAGTATATACAAGTAGTTACAGAGGATGATTTTGAGTTCTGGTTTATGGGATTCCTTAATCATCAAAAGACTCTGAGATATCTGCAGCAGGCAATTTTTAGTTCTTCAAGCAAGCTAAGAAGATAGCTTTTTCTCCTTTTCTTTTTTCATTTTGTTTCCAAATTCGCCTTTCATCAATGTAAAATGTTGATGCAAAACGAATTGGATCTGTTCAAACTTGTAACTAGCTCCATTTCTCGAAGGAGGTTTTAGGTTTTGTAGGCTTTGAGCCTTGGCAGTTAATACGGATGTACAGATTTATTGTAAAACTAAAGTCAATGGAAGGCTAATTCATGTTTTAGGACTTGCCATAGTCATCCAACCATTTTCATGAAACCTAAGGTGAATCTTGATTCATCCATCCCCTTCACATCATTCCCACAGGCCACAGCATAATCACACACCAACCATAATCTATAAAGAGCTCACCTCAACAGCCCCATAGAGTGGCGATCGCAGCAACCGGGCTCACAATCGTTATTTTTGAGCTTGGGCTTATTGTCTCCCGGACCTTGCCAGCTGTGAGCGTGAGTCATGTGTCGCGATCGCAGCTTCTCTGTATTGAGCTATACCATGTGGAAACCACTAATATCGTGGCTCCCTAACTGCGATCACAGCACTAGTTCATTTTGACCAGTGTTGCCCTTTTCTCACCCACAGTCCATTTTGATCCCCGTAGCGAGCGAGCGAACAGCCTTAAGGCAATACTCCATGTTTAAAACACTCCAACTAACTTAATTTAGTCCCAAGCATGCATACAACATCTCAAATGCCTCCAACATAGAGAGGTACAATTTTGAACAAGTAGTTTGTCATAATATCCTTGGTAAAATATTAACATCCTGATGAAGTTATACAATTAGACTGCAACCTCAATCAAATCAAATTATCAGATTGAATTCACTGCTTCACGTGTTCATATATATATATCTTTATATATATATATATATATATATATATATATATATATATATATATATATATATATATATATATATATGAACTAGTGAAACCAAGAGAGTAGGCCAGTAGGGCACCATACCCCTAAACTCAACAATCCAAAAAAAGAATAAGCATAAGGCTTTTTATATTTTGATTTAAGTAAAACTACTTCTTTCTTGAGATTTTTCCTGTAACAGTTATCGCTCTTCTCGTTTTGGACATAATAGAAGTTTACTTCATTTTATTTAAGTTTTGAGTAGCTAAACTCATTTTCCAACAAAAAATGACCAAACAGCTTGTTGGATAATATAATTCTTAAATCAAATGATAACACATTACACAAATCTAAAAGTATTATTTTGTCCGTTTCAATTTATGTGGTGGAGTTTGAATTGACACGAAATTTAAGGAAGACAGAACATTTGGAACTTAAGAGTCTTAAACCTACCATAAGATTTTTAGACTATAAAAACACGACACTAGGGATTCATTTAAAAAATTAAATTAAATTATTTCCAAATATAAGTGTCATTCTTTTGGAAAGGACTAATAAGAACAATGCCACATAATATGGAATAGAGGGAGTATTAAAAATAATTTCTTAAAGACTTGCTAAGTATTATGAAAGAAACATATGAAAATGTATCAGAAAACATAATTATGTTTTGTGCTTCATTTTTAAATATTTTTATTTCTCTAAATTTTTTAAAGTATTGTCGACAACCAAAGGCCAAAAGTTGGTCGAAGTATTAAGAAAATAAGTTAGTTTACTCAAAAAATTTGAATTATTTGACATGCCTGCGTGATGTGTTCCACATAAAGTCAGCATAAACGGCCTATAAATCTGCCTTTACACTTCAAGATGGCATGGACAAAAAAATCAAGATAAGATAACTGCCTTAAAAGAGAAGCCAATATACATAATCCAGAGTTGGCCCTGTCTAGCAGATTGAAATCTTTGAATGACTACCTACTTTCCCTTGCCTAATGTATTAAGCAACACTTTAAAGTTAATGGATGACTCACTCATGTTTCAAAGGGGACAATTAACTAGTTAATTTGTGATTAAATATTGATCACTACTAAACTGTAATAGTGTAATGTCATAAATTCGAATAGTGATCCTGTCAACTTTAATCATATAAGACTAGAAAAACTAGCTTGAGATATTTCTACTATGTACTAAAAGCTTGTGAAAGAGGTAATTTTGTATACTTTTTAATATTCAAGAAGGATTGACTTTTGTCTTTCCCTCCTATATCAATATTCTCTACCCTCATAAGGTAGGGGAAAGGTCTGCGTACACACTACCCTCCCCAAACCCGCCTTGTGGGATTTCACTGGGTTTGTTGTTGTTGTTGTTGTTGTTGTTGTTGTATCAATATTGGGAGGAAATTTTAGACTAATCTATAAAATAAAAAAATAAAAAAAATAAAAAAACTTTTTCATAAATACTATACATAAATAGTTATGCGATCATCAATCTTATAGTTTGCTTCTCAATAAAGACAGTTCAACCTCCTACTAGCAATTTCAAGTTCTCAGTCATAACATTGTCCCTATATAGAAAATGCTTATTCAATCCTTTCCTATATAAAAATTATCAAATCGGAACCAATAAAGTGCCATATGATAATACCAACTGAAACTTTAAGTTTTAGAAGAAACTAGATAAGATTATGGTTAAAAAAAAATTACATGCTACTGTCGACAAACGTGGCCCATGAATGGAATGCATGAGTCTATTTGCGTAGAAAAGGAAAAAGGTCGTTTAGGGCGAATCAAACTACCTTACCAGTTTTGACAAGATGACTTCAAAATGCAAAGATTTCTCTTACTTTTGCTAAACTTATAAAGTAGGTTGCATCACAAAGCAAATCTGCCAACTCAAAAGTTGAAAACACCACAGGTGCACACAAATCTTGATCACAAAATAAGGCAGCATGAGATTAGTTATACTGTAATTACTGTAATTGACCAGACAACTAAAAGAAAGACATTTTCCGAAACCTTTTCAGCAAGAGAAAGACATGGATTACTAAAATCATGAGATTCAAATTTCAGCAGAAGTAAGAAAATATAAGGTGATCTCTTCTTAATTACCTAAGCTTTGATGGGCAGAGTTACATAATGCAAGTGCTAGTGGAAGGCCGCGGGTACCTAGTGAAATAGCCAAGATGTGCACAAACTTCCCAGAACACCACCGTTAAAACGGATTGCAAGCAAAAGGAAAAAACAAAGAAAAGAAAGAAGAGGTTGTACGTGTACACACTTTGATATTTGACAATTTCAAATATCAAACATCAGAAGGATTATCAAAGACAATGAAACTTTTGAAAATTAGCAGACACTACATGTTCCTGACAAACTTTTCTACTTGGTACAAAAGAAAACTCTAAAAAAGCACATGATCTTCTTTTATGGTTGTTTCTGATGACCCATAGCTGACTCATGGATGCAACAATTAGTTTAAAGATTCATCAACTTCTACCAAACTCATATATATATATATATATATATAGTGCTATAAGGATTGTTCTTAAACCATCAACCAAAGACTTATTTCTCACTGACCTTCACAATACAATAATCCTCTTCAAAATCAGAAGTCACAAGGAAGAACTTACTCAGTGGACATGTGGTGGGTGGTATTCGCATGAGTTCAGCTTCAGCAGTACGCTCATTTGAAAGACAGCCAAAAAGACTATTGTCCATATCTGCTTTCCAAGACCATATTCGTCCATCTGCAACTTCAAAGAACTTGTCTAAAATAAAGCAAAGTGAGTAATTCCCCTGTTAGTTCAGTATTTATAAATAGTACTACTAATGAATGAAGAGATCACTAAGAAGGAATATTTTGAATGTGCAGGAAAATCTGTGATTGGTAAGATGAACAAACTTGGAGAAAGGATGGATTGTCTTGCACAAGGCATCCGTGAGCATGGTAAGGCACTTATATTCTCCATAAAAGACTCAAAAAGATTATCGAAACACTACTAAGACAATGGTTTGTTTAAGCTGGAAAAAGAGTATCTGAAGTAGAAGTTGGAAAAAAAGTATTTGGAAGCTGAAATTGTGTCCGGACATGAGTTTTACTAGAAGAGAAGTTGAATTTTTGTGAGTGAACGCCATTATTTCACCTGAAATACTGCTCAAACGAATCTTTCCAATATTTCATCGGTATTTCAAATACTCAAATTCAGTATTTGCATATACTGATGGCCAAACTTCAACTTGCAAATATTACACCAGTATTTAGATCTGAACAACACAATATATATGTGAGTCATGACGTACAAAAATTCATGCAAGAAGCACTATTTACATGTATGATCAAAAATATTGATTGTGATGTCATTAATGTTTCAACTTTAATTGTGCAGTGAGCCTAAGCCCGAAGCTAACAGAAATTGTGAAGGGAAAATTGAGCCTTGGGGCAAAAATTCTTCAAGTAGGAGGGTTGGAGAGAATATTCAAGCAGAAGTTTAGTGCTAGAGATAATGAAGAGCTATTGAAGGTTTCTCAATGCTATTTATCAACCACAACTGGTCCAATGGCAGGCCTTCTCTTCATCTCTACTGATAAGGTTGCTTTCTGCAGTGAGAGATCAATAAAGCTCTTATCTCCAACTGGACATTTTCTTAGAATCCATTACAAGGTATCCATCTACATTCTACGCAGTTTTCATTAATCTCTAATTTTTCTAGCTATGTGAAGCATAATCTAATAGGTTCGAACTTGCAGGTGTTGATCCCACTAAGTAAGATGAAGAAAGCAAAAGAGAGCGAAAATATGGAAAAGCCATCACAGAAGTATATACAGTTAGTTACAGAGGATGATTTTGAGTTCTGGTTTATGGGATTCCTCAATCATCAAAAGACCCTCAGATATCTGCAGCGGTCAATTTCATCAGGTTCAAGCAAGCTAAGAAGATAATTCTTTTTCCTTTTTTTCATTTTTTTTCCAATACACCCGTTCATCAATGTAAAATATTGATGCAAAAAAGAATTCAATGATCTGTTAAAACTTGTAACTAGATCCAATGCTCAAAGGAGGTTTTAGGTTTGGTAGGCTTTGAGCCTTGTGAGTTGATGTGAATATATAGACTTGTAAAATTTATGCAAACAGATGGCTCTTCTTTGATGATTAATTTAGCTTTCTGCTTGTCCTTGGAGTAAGCTTTGCAACCCAAGTTAGGATTTGGAAAAAGAACCAAATGCTACCTATAGGATTGGCATTTTAATAATGTTTAAATGCCACAGTAATACTGTATTAACATCTTTGCTGCCTTCAAGTCTTTCTTTTCCCTGGTTATGATATAGAATGTCCTCAGTTTATTTTTATTGGTAAAGTAAAATAAGATATAAGTAGAATATCTTCATTTGAAAATGTCAAATCTTTTTTCACCAGGAAAGCTTATTATCATGCCACTTTCCAGGTAAAACAACTACTTTGGCTTTCGGATTCCTGTATTATCCATGTTGTAATTCAATATGCTGAGAGCGCACAGGTTAAAAAATACACTGACAGTGGAAAGAAATTTTACACTGACAATATATACAAATCCATTTTGCAATCAGAATATCAGTTCCTATCTTGTCTGATAAACTTCTTTGGCCAACTAGTTAAAATATGGTTCTTGTAAACCTCCAGACTATATGCAGCTACAGCTAACACAATCCAATTGTGGATAAGCTCAGTCACAAATACTTTTACATATATACTCACGCACATAAAACCTGAACCAGCAAATGTAACTGCATGCAGTTGATAACAGTAAGGCAGTTGGCAACGGGACTTCATTCTTTCTCAGAAAAACAATGGGACTTCATTTCATTCACAATGTGAAAACACTAACAACCAATGGGGAGCTACTAGTAATTTACAAGGATGATATACAGGAGTTTGGGATTAAATAAATGAAAAGCAGGCAAATAATCTACAACGAAAAGTTCATGCTTAACAAAAGACAAATAATGAGAACAAAGGACTGACATCAGGAGCTTCTAAAGTCATATTGTAGGCCCTGGAGTAAGAAAGCAATCATTCTACAGTGTAGCAAAGGCATTCTGTAGTCAAATCTTCTCAAAGTAACTCATCTGGCTCAGCTAAGCTCCCAGTGAAGTTTACTTTGCAAGATTCAGGAAACTCAAGTCCAGCCTCCTCACACCCTGCTTTAGTTAATAGGGGACAAGATCGTACGTCTAGATATTCAAGAGACTCACATGACTTCAGAAGCTTCTTAATTCCATCAACAGTGATCTTTGGACAGTTACTGACCTTCAAAATCTTCATCCCCAGCATAAAGTCTTCGCTTCCTAATTGTTGAAATGCAGCATCAGTTACCTCCTCACAGCAGCCAATGTCAAGAACCTCAAGCTTTTTGCATCCGGAAATGATAAAGTCCAATGACGAGTCTGTAATGTTCAAACACCAATCCATCCTCAGTTTCCTAAGACTATTACTACATGCAGCAGCCAGTGACTTCACGGACTCGTCTGATATGTTACGGCAACCACCAATAACGAGTGTCTCAAGATTTTTGCAGTAGCTAGCCAAGGATAAGATTGATTCATCGCTAACTTTGTAGCAATCTAACAACTTCAATGTCTTAAGTGTCAATGAACAAGCTTTGGACACGCTAGATATCCCAATATCACCAATGTTGCTGCATTTGTTAATGTCTAAATACTTTATTCTTCGGCAACCTTCGACCAAAACAGAGAGACCCGAGTTGGTAATGTTGGTGCATCCTCGCAAACCCAGCTCTTCTAAACTATGGCAGTTCTTGGAGAGAGCTTTTAGTAATGAGTCTGAGACAAATCTACAGCCAGCAAGATGCAAGGTTCTCAAATCACGACACCCCTCAGCAACAGCTGAGAGACCCTTGTCTGTGATCTTTCTGCAGTAGGATACATCTAAAGACTGTAAAGAAGAGAGACTGGACCCGATTGCTGCGATTCCATTGTCTGTTATGCCTGTAAATTTGAACCATAAAACCTCGCAAGTTAAGTCAACTAGAACACTTAAAGAACAATTTAGCCTTTCTCTTTTAATCATGATGTTGGGAAAGATCTGAGATAATCGAACTATCATCTCGAGCATAAATTTTCAATAAGATTCTAATTTCATTGTCTGCGATGAACTATTTGCAGTGTGAAGGAAAAGGTAGCTTCTAGATTAGCAGCAAAGTTACACTTCTTTTAAAAGTTGCAATACATATGATGTAACTATATGTCCTCCTTTTTGCTACAACTTCAGAACTACATAGCACAAGAGACATAACCTTTACACAGAAACACAAAATTCTACAAATTGGCATTTAATTTTCTCAAAAATCTGCCCATAAATTCCCCCAAAATCCTTCATAAAAAATGAAAGTTTTATCATTAAAAAAAATTATATAAAAAACAGGAAAAGCCAGTTTCTTTTCCATAATTGGGTCAAAACCTTTAGCATTTCAAACAAAAAGTTTATCCAAAACCTTCAAAACCCCTTGATGTCCAATAATAAAGTATATCCTCTAGTCACCAGATTCGAGGCATGGAAACAAGCTCTTAGCAGATATAAAGGGGATAAAATAGGAATTTTAGAATTATATTGTTTTCAAATATAGAAATGTCAGCAAAGCTTCCAGAAGGACTAGATACTCCCTCCATTCTTTTTTACTTGTCCAATATACTAAAAATAGATTTTTCCTTTTACTTGTCCACTTTAGCAAATCAAAAGATAATTAATTATTTTTTCCTAATTTTACCCTTACATTAAGTAACAATTTTCCAAACTAATTGAAGCAGTAGTAGTCAAATTTAGATTTTCATTTTTCAAATTAACATTAATAAGGATAATCTAGTAACATAAACACTTAATCAATGATTTCTTACAAACTGGACAAGTAAAAGGGAACGGATGGAGTATATATGAAGTATCACTACACCCAATACTGATTTAAATTCAACACATTTAAATGTAAAGACAATTAAAAATAAATAAATAAATTTTTGACCTTTACAGTTTTGAAGACTGAGGATTTTTAAGCAAGAGAAAGCAGCAGCAATAACGGAAAGATCAGAATCCGTAACGCCAGGGTAGAAAGATCTAGAAACTGACTGGCAAAGATCAAGTTCATGCAAGCGAGTAAATCGGGCCGCGATTTTACGGAGCATATGAGGTCCGGCCCGAGCACAAAGTTTCTTCCGTTCAGTGCTTTGAATAAAAAGCCACCGCTTACAGACCAGCCCGAAAACTTCCTTGTCTTTGTCGTCGTCGAGCCGAGATAACACGGCCCGAAGCTCGTCGTCGCCGAGGCTGTCGTTTATACAGAGGCCTGAAACGGCGCCGTTACAGGCCATGTTTGGGAAGCTTTTGGTTCTGACTTCTGATCTTTACTTGGAAGAAAAAGCAGAATGGTTTTTGTTTTATTTATAGGGCTTTCGGAATAAATAATGGATTATGAGTTGGCTATAAGGGTGTTTGTATTGGAGTTGGAATGTGGTGGTTACCAACTTATGAAGCACAACAACAAACCATGACATAAACATTTGAACTTACATTTTTGTTGATTAATTGAACTAATTTCAACTAACATATAGTATCTATTTTTTGGTAAAATCATTTAATATTTAAAATTGTTGCTACTGCATCTTTTTTCCTCTTTCATTAAGTTGAGGGTTTATTGAAAATAACTTCTCCATCTTTCAAGGCAAGGATAAGGTATGCGTACACACTACACTTTCCAGATCTCACTTGTGATCAACTATATTTGTTGTTGTTATTATATTTAATATTTAGAATTGATTTACCCGACTAATCTAGATAGTTATTGTGTAGGAACCACTTAAGGGGTACAAGATTTCTCCATTCCCAATACTTGATCGCAAAACAACTAGTTAAGAGTGAAAAAATCTCATTTATCCCGCCACAGTTATTTGTGATTTTTGTTATACTTGTATATGGATATGACTAGACTCTTATTCTTCATCATAAACAATAATTGTCATTTCCTACCCTATCAAGATAAGTAAACTTAATACTTAACTCGCCATCACATTGGGTTGGTACAAGGGTCCCAAAAGTCTAAAAAAATTACTCAAGACACCTAATGTTGTCATCAATCCAAATAAATAAATAATATATGTTTTATATACATTCTTATTACTCCATCATAGTTCAATAATAAAAATGTTCATCTTAATTTGTTACTTAACTATGATAAATAAATATAGTTTAGTGAACATTGAATATGTGCAAATGATGAAAATGGAAGAATAATGAACCATGGAAAAGGATGAAACGCAAGCTCGAGCAATTATCTTGACCAACTTGAGCAACATCCTAGACCACAGTTCCAACATTGTCCAACTAGAACCTTGAACTAAGTGAAATTTTGGGTTGAAATTCAAAAATAATCAGATTTTTAACTGGTAATTAAAAAATAGCATAATTTTAAAAGTAATCAAAATTAAGTCACTTTTCATATAAAGATAAAATCTGAACAAAAACGCTGTTAAAAATCAAAAATATTTCAGCTGGAGTTCGAATTTTTTACATATGAGCTTCTAGCATAATATGCTACAATTTTATAATATATTGGAGTTCCGTCATAATATGCTAGACATGCAAGGACTCCATAATCCCGCACATTATGCTGGAACTTTCCGTGTCCTGTTGTTACAACATAATATGTTGGAAGTTTGTACGCAAGAGCTCCATAATCCTGCATATTATGCTGGAACTTCCATGTTTCAGCAAAACAATGGTTATTTTTCAATGACTTCGCAAACGCTGGCTATTTTTTAATTACCAGTCCGAAAAATGACTAACCCGTGTTATTTTGAGGAAATTTTGCCTAATTATCCACACGAAAGTACAACTAGATTCAAATTGATTAGAAGTAGAACGCTTTAGCTTAAAAATTGGTAACAGGATTCACTTTCCTCACCACATAAATTCCATGCAGATACAAAGCTTTCAGCTTCCCCCTTAATCCTATTAACCAAGTCACTTTCATCAGTTTCAACAATCAACATAATGCTTTGGATACCAATATCCCTTGACAGTCTGATTCTTCTGAATCTGCATTTACAATAATTTATATATTTGGGTCACTCAGAAGGATGAGGGTTGCGATAGGCTGGCAACCAGCGTAAAACTCTTAATTGCAAAACTCAAGCTTTTCAATAAAGATCCTCATGCTCCTCCCTAGAAACAACACCAAATTCCAGCTTTATGAGGTCTCAGCACCCCATGTATCTTAGCCAAACCAACCAGCAGAAGTTCCTATATTTCCGGAAATACTCAAATCTTGATTCAAGTACTCCACATGCGAAGAGACATCCCTCGAGCACATTCAGCAGGACTTATACAGAATCTCTGAATATTCTGAATTCCTTGTACACCAAAAAGAACCACGGAGAAGTAGCAAGAACAGACCCTTCCCATTGATCTAATTTGTCAAGAACAACTTGAAGGCCAACAAGAGAGTCATACCTTATAAAAGCTGAAGGAACAGGGCAGGAGAACACAATCTAATTGCGTATTGCACATTTAGAATTAGCCACAGCACCTCCTCTTTACTAGATTTAGCCTAGTGTGTAGGATAGCTAACATAGTCTTTCAAAGACAAAACTTCACTTTAGGACGTACTTGTAAATTCTCATAACGACTGCCAACAAGAACTCTGCCTCGACTTAGCAGACATGCGGCCTTTCCCAGTAACCTTCCATTGCGATCTCCACTCTTCTCTGAGATTCCTCATAAGCGTGTTCTCAGGCCATGAAGGACTAAAGAAAAAGAAGTAACAAGTTGAGCTTCAGTTTTCCAACGAAATCTCAATTACATTCAAATTCCATATAGTTAGATGCAGCATATTAAGATTACTTACCTTAGAGTCAGGCCAATGATACCCCTCTGACCTTTAAGCAAATTGGGTTCTTCCAAAAATACAATACCACATGAATGAACAGCTTGCCAGATGGGTCCCAATACATGGTTAGCAGCTATACCCCCATCGACGTTGCAAGATCCTTGTGCCTTAAATAGGTCTTAGGGGCATCCTTCAATGGGCAGCTTTTAATATTACGGCCGATAAGATCACATATGAGACACAACTTATCAAAAAAAGGACCACCGAAAAACATATAAGGAAATTGTTCATACTTGAGGAGAAAAACACTTCTCCTTCTGGACCGTACAACTTAGTGCACTGACAAAGTGGACAAACAACATTCACTTTGCTCGCAGAAGACAGAGCTGTCAACACAGGAAGCTTCTCGCTTATCAGAGCGTAATGACATGCTGCAAACCATTTATCAATCTCAATGACAATTGCTTAGTAGCCAATGGTTGTTAACTTGTAAAGCAACTTTTCGTCGAAACACTAAGGACCTGTGTAATAAAAGATCATCCCTGCTTCCAAAGAAGAAACAGAAACAATACTTTCCAAAACTTAATATACAAAGGTCTTACAAGCAAAAATCATCATGTTCTTCCAGCTCTTGAAATTAATCTCTCTATCAAATAATGTGCCGTAACAGCTTCTAAGACATTAGATCCTTTATAAATGTCTGGATCTTGAACATTAGTTTGATCTTCTGCAGTTTCCAAAGAACATTCTTGAAGATTGCTGTAAAATTTCCTTATCCAGGAGACAACATTCCAATTACTCCCCACTAGATGATGAACACCGTTTTCATAAGCAATGAGGGATTGGTAATGACAATCAGGTAAAACCACTCATCAAGAATGAGAGAGTAGAAGTCTAGAAAAAGCACTCCTCATATTGCACTCAACACATGCTCATAATAAGTGGATCACAAACACTAGCTATGGACATAGTGCATTCACTACATTAGCAGTTTAACTAAGAAAAAAAAAAAGTTTTCCCTTTCTATAATTTACAAGATTTTAGATGAGACAAAACATCTTATTAGTAAAAAAGTGAGAAAATACTGTGCGTCCTCTTTAACAGTTTAAGGTTTTAGATGAGATGTTTCACAATTTCCACAATTACAAATGCATAGAAGGAAATGGACAGCTCAAGCACTAGATCATTTTATTAGCGGAAAGGATAGTAGACAATCAAGTATAACAGGATTATAATCACGGGATTCCCAAAAGTTGGACCAGAAATCCTAAAACACTTGAACGAAGAAAGAGTAACGGTAACCAAGTTTCTAACGCAATCTACTTATAGTCATCAGAACAAAATCCATTATGCATGACAATGATCAAAGTTATTTCTTAATGATATGTGCTATCTTATAGCAGATTTATCATCTCGATTCTGTTCATACTATCATATTCTTGGCATTCAGAATATATCAGTAAACTCAACTATGTTCCCACCAAAAGTATGTGAATTGTGAAGCAATGTACCATAAAGAATCGTACTCATACTTAAAGACTGAAGGACATTCAGAAATGGTCGCACTAAAGAATTATAGGGAATGAAATTACAAGATTTGAACCCCATCTAACTCTGGACTACCAAAGTCAATACCCAATATCTTTAAGTCTCGAGAAGTAATACAGGTAAAATTAGCTACCTCATAGCATTCCAAATGAATATCAGTTGCATCAACTATGACTCTGCAGGGTACAACATTCTTGTCAATCGAAACTGAACAATTCTCATAAAGACCTTCCTTGGGTGCAAGATTCAACAAACAAGACTTTGGTGCTGACAGTCTATTTCTCTCACTCATAAACCTTTCTTGATCTTCCATCATTAAAACAAGACGATGTTTGCGACCTAACAGCTCAGACACATATTTCATGTCTCCCTTGTCAAGGGCATACCTAACACGAGTAGATGATACTTGTCCTCTCTCCTTTTTTTCACAAGAGTTTAAGGCTCCAGAAATCTGATTCTTGTCCATGACAGAATTGATTATATAAGCCTCTAATCCATACTCTTCACAGAGCTTCACAAGGTCCGATGCATCACCAGCAGCTCTATATCCAAAACGATAGTTTTCGCCTGAGATCATCAAGATATCGTCATATTTTTTTCTTTTGTTAGTTCATATTGGATCTCTATGTCAAGTTAGGATGACACGTACCAGCAACAACTCCTCGTACTCCCAGCTCTTTGGACAGCTTCTCCACAAACTGACGAGGCGTAAGAGATCGAACTTTGGAAAATTCTATCTGGAATTCCGTCGGGATTACATTACCGCAATAAGGAGCCCAAGATGAAAGAATCCTTTTGCGATCACAGTCAGCAACAATGGGAGCCCTGTGTAGAAAATATACACAAAATTATGCAAAGATTCTTTCTCATTTCATGATGTAGCATTTCATAAAGACCACTAACCAAAAAAAGAACTTCTCAGTAAGGTTAGGAGTAAATGTCCAGCAGATTTTAAACACCTACCAGCTTCAAAGACCAAATTTTATGAACCATAACTTTTCCTAGATACTAATTGAGTAGAACAAAGTTCGATAAATATTTTTATTTTCAATGAGCAAATCAAGGTTGTGTAAGATGCTGTTAAGGACATCCTTTGAATTTAAGACGAAGGACAAGTTGCTTTGAAATAAGCTATAAGTTTCATCACTAACTTTTACTTGTCACCAAAAACACAAGGAAAAAAGGAATATATACTGTTGCAGGAATTAATTGATTTATTTCTTTAATTTATCCTTTTTGTTAAAACTTGAATGAATGAAAAATGTATGGTTATATTTTCTTCCTTCTTTGCACATACTCTGAATTGATTATCCTATTAACAGAAATTCCTAAACTCAAGAGTGCTAGTCAACAATCTAGTGCTTTGGGGAAAGAGCGTCCATAGGGTCCACAGAATTATGCTACATAATGGAGCTAATGTGCAGTATAGCTACAACTTAGGAGGTTGCAAAGAGACAGCTAAGCTCTCTCTTTCTCTCTCCCACTCTCTCTCTCACAGAAACACATTTAGCCCTCTTCCCCCCCCCCCCC